TTCATGGTGGCCGTGCAGCGGCGCACACCGTGGGGCTCGCGCACTGCGGCAAGTTCAGGGACCGGGTGTACGGCAGCCCGGCGGACGCGACGCTGAACCCCAAGTACGCGGCGTTCCTGAGGACCAAGTGCCCCGCCGACGGCTCGTCAGACCCGATGGTGCTCATGGACCAGGCCACGCCGGCGCTCTTCGACAACCAGTACTACCGGAACCTGCAGGACGGCGGGGGGCTGCTCGCCTCCGACCAGCTCCTCTACAACGACAACCGCACGCGGCCCCTCGTCAACTCGTGGGCCAACAGCACGGCCGCCTTCAGCCGGGGCTTCGTGGACGCCATCACCAAGCTCGGCCGCGTCGGGGTCAAGTCCGGCAGCGACGGCAACATACGCAAGTTGTGCGACGTCTTCAACTGATGACGAGAGGGATCGATCGATGCGTTGATATACACCGGGGTTACTATACTACGCTGTCTGAGTTAGTGTACGTGCACGCGTCAAAGGTGCATGTGTACACGAGATGTGTGGGTCTGTGACACGGAGATTCGTTGGGTTTCACAGTTCTGTGTGGCTTGTACATGATTGTATATGTGTTGTTTGATTCGTTGATTTCGAACATCCGAATTATATGCAAATAAAATGAATAAATCATTCTCCATAAGTAATGGGGGACGTATAACTGCTAAGTAATGTGTCACTTTTTGTAGTCTTCACCCAAACCCATCCTGCCCTAGAATTTGCATCTCGTATTCATGTAGCGACCAAGCCGGTTACACTAGCTTCACGTGGATGAAAACCGCATTGAAGTCGGTCGATGGTCCAAAGTAAACATTTTGCTAAGTTCAAGAGATCGTTTCCGACTGTTTAAAGATTGTGAGACCAAAAGCAAAACTGCAGAGTTCAGAATCTAAAATTAGGCTTTTTGTCAAAGAATAAATCAAGCACTCACCAAAAGTAACGTGGCATAATTGGCTACAGTGGCATACCCAGGGGGTGTGCCAGGTGCCATGGCACACCTGGATTTTTAGAAAACATTTTTTCATCATGTAAAAATTAACTGATTTTTAAGGCCGGTGCAAGCTAGTTGAAATATGCTTCAATTGTTTTAAAGTGTGCACACTCTTCATTTTATTTGTAGTTCCGCCACTGATTGGCTAGTACTGTGTCGTTTTGTTGTCTTATGAATGGAAATTACATGTAACTAGTTACCAAGGATACATTGGGATTTTTGGTGTTGAACAAATAGTTCTTTTTTCTCTCAAAAAGAACTAGAGTAGTTTTGATTTGCTAAATATTCCTTTTGTGATGGAGGAATATCGACATAAATTATTCTCTTGACTCACAACATTCCTCATAGTAAAACCTTGGGCAGCCACCGTGTTCTTGGTCGATGATTAGTTTTCCAGATGAAACGTCAGGGAGACTCCGCAAGTCCTTCGAATCCGTGTCAATTATTGGGCAAACACTTCTGGACATAAAACACGGCATCTCGTCACCGATATGTACAGCCTGACCTTGACAGGGGGTGAAAATTTCAAGCGAAATTAACCACCTCTAGCAAGTTGGTCGAACAAATGTTCGGAGAAGACAAACATATGCTGAGGCTGAGCACATTATTATAGTTTTGATGGTAACTTTCCTCCCAGCTTACCTCCACAGGTTCACCTCTTCGATTCGTAATCGTAACAAACCAAAGAATCTCCAAGCTTAGTCCATTTACACACACTCCTTTTCCAAGCCCAGGAACCGGCCCTATGGAGCTCTGAAGCTAGCACACACCAGTTGACATGACCAGCGCGCAAAGCGCTACGAGAAGGCTTGATCGGACGGAGAACAGAGCGCAGGAGACGGTTTCAGTGAACGCACGCGTTGGAAGCTTGAATGGAGAGCGTGTGTAGCCCACGGCGCCGTGGCAGACTTGGCGCTCCGATGATCGGTCTCCGGAGATCCGAAGCCGCCCGTGCTAGGGACCCAACAACCACCGCGGAAATGGACGTGCCAACCGAACCGATCGAAGTCGCCTCATTTCATTACCTTATCTCGCGCTGGATAACTTCCCGGCGCGGGCCACATCACCTGAAAATGAACGACCAGAATCCGCGGTGTCTCCCTCAGCTGAAGCAACTTGGGCTTGGTTCTTTTTTTTTCGAAAAAACTTTCAATCTATTCATTTTTTTTTCGATGAGAGGGGCCACATGGCCCCCATTTTCATTAATAAAATGGAGTCTTTTACAAGCAAGGAGCAGTATATTCATCTTCAAGCAAGTATATACATCCACATCCGTAGATCACCTAGCGACGGCTACAAGCACTGGAGCGAGCCGAAGGCGCGCCGCCGTCGTCACCCCTCCATCGTCGAAGTCGGGCACAACTTGTTGTAGTAGACAGTCGGGAAGTCGTTGTGCTAAGGCCCCATAGGACCAGCGCACCAGAACAGCAACCGCCGCCGATGAAGAATAACGTAGGTTGGAAGGATTCAACTCGAAGACACACGAACGTAGACGAACAACGACAAGATCCGAGTAAATCCACCAAAGATAGATCTGCCGGAGACACACCTCCACACGCCCACCAACGATGCTAGATGCACCGCCGGAACGGGGGCTAAGTGGGGAGACCTTTATTTCATCTTCAGGGAGCCACCGCCGTCTCGTCTTTCTAAGCATAACACAAACTCTAACAAGACAGAAAAAAACGACTGAAAACGGAACCCTCCTGCCGACCCTTGGCAGGATCCACCGCGCCCCCATGGCCCTAGGGCCACCGGAGACGAGGCGGACCTGCGCCGGCGCCGGCGAGAGGCAGAAACTCTAGCCTTTTTTCTTAACTTGGGCTTGGTTTAATTGTCTGAAACTCCGACCACCCATAACTGTCGCATGTTTGCCTCTTTGGAAAACAGAACCGTTGCTTTTTTATTTAGAGGCAAAAAAGAACTTTTCTTTTTAGAAATATAGACTCAAAGATCGTGCAGGCAAAAAAATAGTTCAAAGTGTGAAAAAAGTCTAAACAAAAATTTGCCGCATACATCTCGATATTATATGTGTGCACGTCAAGTTTCGGAGAAAACTGACACTTTTTGTGGCTTGTGTAAAAAAGACAAAAGAAAAGTTCTTTTTTGCCTCTCGCCGGCAGGAGGGTTCTTTTTTCACATGGATATTATATGGATTTTATCCTTTTTCACATGCATCACATAAGATGTCGGCTTTTTGCGAAACGACTTTGTGAACATGTACAATATTGAGATGTACGCATTAAGTTTTTGTTTGAATTTTTTTAACTTCTAAAATATGTTTAAAACACATTTTAAAAACCAGAAGCGTGCACTCCCATGTGGCAAAACGCCACTCTCTCTTTCGGAAATCCGTTGGTGCTTGTTTATTTTGTCAGGACTTCGGGAGCCATCAACCATGCTTGACGAGGGCCGTGTTTCAAATCATGGGCCGGGCAATCTATCGTGCTACAGTGGCGCTAGCAGCTGCAGTGAGCCGTTGGGGCCGCGGCCCCGCGGAGGAGCGGACACTAATGGACGTTCACGTCACACACGCACAAGTCGTCAGAACTCAAAAGGCGCGTTGCTTAAAAAGACGAAGAAAAATTAGGATCAAAAGGAGCGTCATTTCCCACTAAAAAAAGGCGTGTCGGCCCATCTCAGTTTCCTTTCCACCGGCCTACACTCCGGATCAAACACTCAACAAAAAAAAAAAACTCCACTGCATGCTCCGAGGAAAAAAAAAAGCTCCGCTCCACTGCACGCTGTCAACATCGACGGAGAAATGGACCGAACTACACGTAACATGCTCTTGGAAACGGCGAGTGCAATTCAAGCCATTCCAACAAACATGGCGGCCAGAGCTTTCAAAAATAAAAATAAAAAAAGAGGAAAACGTGGTCGCGAGTGGCGAGCGGCAGGAAGCGACCAGCTGCGAGCCCTTTCAGGTGGCCGCCATGGCTGTGGAAACGCGAAAGAGCACATGAATGCTGCCTGCTCCGGTGCTGGATCTCGTCTCCTACTGTAGACATAGCTGGTGCTCGTCTCTATGCCGTCTCAGACCATTAAACCTGCTCCGGGGGGCGAACAACCATTCTTGGCCGCGTTCGCCTTTCCAGAGAGGCGGCCAGACCCAGAAGCCAACCCTATCTGCTCCGTCCATTTCCGCACCGGCTATGCTGCACACGGAACTGCAATGCCATGGCTGTTTCCTGGGTTCAGTTTGCACTTTGCAGTGCCTGTGCATTGCGTGACACACGTCTCTTTCATTTTTCAGGCCCTTCGGTCTGTGTTATCCGGCAAAAAAGAAGCCCAACCCACAGAATCACACTGCATCATTAGTGGCCGATTTTGTTAGTCGCTAGCGTGCACTCGGAGCGAGCGTTGTCATTTGTACCACCAAGAAAGGCTTTAACGTACTACTCCAGTACTACAGAGCATACGCCGGACGGAGCCCCACCAACCGCGCCATGTGGAGGTTGCGAGCCCTACACATGTTTGCAGCGCAAGCGGGCAGAGCCGGTCTGTGATGTCCGTGATGAGGCCGGACGTGGACAGACGCATGCGTCCACGTGGGGACGCGCCCGGCTTCTCTCTGGATCGCCCGCGCCGCTGCATCCATCCATGATCCATCCGCCGCGCCGCGCACGCATCTCGAAGCGCGCCGTCTATCGCACCACTGTACCAGACTGGATACGTCCACGAGCCATCGCCACCTCTCCCCCACACTCCGAGAAAGCTTGGCTTCTACTACTACTACTCCAGCACAATAACTAGGCCACCCACAAACACACCCGCACCCGCACACAGCCGCGGCGACAGACACCCAACGGCATCGTCATCATCACCGCCACCGCCACCACTTCTTCTAGATAGCTCCTGGTACTGCCGTGCCGTCATTAGCCGCGGGAGCAGAGCCTGGACGAGTCCCAGATCGGTCGGTTCGGTCGGCACCGGAAGGCATTCAGGCAGCTAGGCGTGGGAACTAGATTAGGATCCTAGCGGCAAAGTGCAGCATGGGCGCCGGGATTAGGATCCTAGCGGCGGCCCTCCTGGCGCTCGCGGCTGTCCGCGGCGCGACGGCGCAGCTCCGGCAAGGCTACTACTCCGCCAGCTGCCCCAACGTGGAGGCCATCGTGCAAGCCGCCGTGGCCCTCAAGGTCCAGCAGACGCCCGTCGCCGTCGGCGCCACCGTCCGCCTCTTCTTCCACGACTGCTTCGTCCAGGTCCCGCTCGATTCCCCTGCATCTATCTGTCTGCATTTCATTCGATTCTTGTCCCCTGTCTGGCTGTGTGTGGCGCCTGACGACCATGCGTCTCCAGGGATGCGACGCGTCGGTCATCATCGTGTCGTCGGGGAACAACACGGCGGAGAAGGACCACGTGAGCAACCTCTCCCTCGCCGGCGACGGCTTCGACACCGTCATCAAGGCGAAGGCGGCCGTGGACACGCAGTGCCCCAGCCCCAACCTGGTGTCGTGCGCGGACATCCTCACCATGGCCACCCGGGACGTCATCGGCCTGGTACGCGCACGCCTGCCCACTCCCTTTCGAGATCTATCTACCAAAAGCGTCCGAGCTTTCGATGCCTGCATACATATATTATCAGCATTCAGCAATACAAACAACAATGCCTCTGAAAGCATCTTTGCTGCCACGCGCGCAGGCCGGCGGCCCGGCGTACCCCGTGGAGCTCGGGAGGCTGGACGGGCTGGTGTCGACGGCGAGCAACGTGGACGGGAACCTGCCGCCGCCGTCGTTCAACCTGGACCAGCTGACGGCGATGTTCGCCGCCAACAACCTGTCTCAGGCCGACATGATTGCGCTCTCCGGTAAGGCCAGCCAATTACTCCCTCCATTCCACAATGTAGTGCCTATAGATTTTTGTGAAAGTCAAACTTTGCCAACTTTGATCAAGTGTATAGAGAAAATTGTCTACATCTACAATACCAAACATGTATATTCTAACTCATGATGTACCCAACGAGGTGCATTTGATATTCTAGATGTACCTACTTTTTTCTATAAATATGGTCAAAGTTTATAATGTTTGACTTCTGTAAAAATTTATAGGCACTACGTTATGGAACGGAGGAAGTATTAAAGAGATGTTTACTAACCGCCCCTGCCAACCCCCCGAATTACTTTAGCCGCTGCCTGTACTGGTCGCGCTCGTGTCAGGAAGTACCCCCATGTGCTCTGTTTTCCTGTCTTGCAACCCACACAAAGCCGGGCGAAAAGGGCTGGATTCTGCGTGCTGATCGAGGGATTTTTGTTGGGGCAGTAGAAATAGTAGTAGTAATGTGTTTCATCGTTAGCAGTAGCACTGTCAGTATATTTTTAGTTATCCCGTTAGACTGAACCTGATGATAGTGGAGTGTGCGTGCACTGTAGCTGGTTGCTGGTCAGTAGATCTGAAAGGGGTCAAACTGTGGAGGACTAGCTGTACTGCCTTTGCTTGCACGTGAAAGAAAGGTCATCTGCATTATTGGCATATCCTTCGCCCACAATCGCACCCTCACAGTTTGCAACCCAGAAGCGTCCAACAGCTTGATTTCGGCCCATCCGTTCACAAACCATGGGCCTGCAAAATGAGCTGGGGGCACTGTACAATTGTATGGCATCTTGGCACGAAATCTGCAGAAACTGTACACGATTATGTGTACGAATGTTTGCCCGTGACCTTAATAAGAAAACAAATGCGGTGTTGTTTCTTGTTTGCAGCGGCGCACACGGTGGGGTTCGCGCACTGCGGGACGTTCACGGGCCGGATCCAGACGGCGGCAGTGGACCCGACGATGGACCCCGGGTACGCGTCGCAGCTGCTGGCGGCGTGCCCGGCGGGGGTGGACCCGAACGTGGCGCTGGAGATCGACCCGGTGACGCCGCACGCCTTCGACAACCAGTACTTCATCAACCTGCAGAAGGGGATGGGCCTGCTCACCTCCGACCAGGTCCTCTACGCCGACCTCCGGTCGCGCCCCACCGTCGACGCCTGGGCGGCCAACAGCTCCGACTTCGAGGCCGCCTTCGTCGCCGCCATGACCAACCTCGGCCGCGTCGGCGTCAAGACGGACCCCGCGCTCGGCAACATCCGCCGCGACTGCGCCGTGCTCAACAGCTGATTTGTTTGGTTATTGCATTGGTTGAGGCAGGAGAACAAGATGCAGTGCAAGCTCGATCGATGCTTGGGGGTATGATATGGATATCCTATCATCAACTGTTCATAGTTAGCTTGGCCACTCGATGGGGTGGTGCTGAGATTATAATACAGGTAGCTTTCGAGACACAAGTCTAGTTCTAATCCATCGGAATGTTAATGGTTGAGGAGTCTGTTGAGTTGAGCATCATTTGTTTTGATCTGCCATTGTTGCGTGTCGTTCGATTACTTAGAGCCGAATGTATTAATTGTGTGTTTAATATGGGAGCGAGATTCATTTGCTTCGAATATACACGCTTGTTAACACCCCCGGCACTTTTTTTTAGGGTTACCAAACACTTTTTTGATCTATGTGAACAAAAAGAGGGATACACACTGGATCATGCGGGTTAATGAGCCACGGGTGGCGACCCGGATCAACCGAGATAGCGTGTTCGGCAAGATTGTGAGCATCAACAATCGCGGCTCTATTCTCAAAAATAAAACTGCAGCTATTAAAATTGGTTCTACGAAGTAAAATTTCTTTGACCAACTCTATTGCTCGACCACCACTTCATGTAAGGTCAACTCTAATGCTAGACCGCATTTGGTCTGTCTCTGTCCGTTTGAGTCGAAACGAACACAAAACGCGGCCCAATGCACCGACACAAGCAACTGGGCGTTCGTATTTTCTCCGCCCGCGACTCATTTTCGGACCAAATGTGGGCCGCATTTGCGTCGAAACGGGTATGGCGCGGACGCGCCCTCCCTCCCCCCCCTCCCCAAAAAAATCCTCCCATGGCCACCGCCCCGGACACAGGCGCCGTTGGCATTTTGGCCGCCAACTTCGCCCCGTTCCTCCCCGACGCCTCGAAGAAGAGCAAACCCAAGAAGAAGTTCATGTCGGCGCAGCTTGCCTGAGAAACGAAGAAGAGGGCTGGTCGCAGAGCCATTGCAGCGAAGAGGAAAGCCAAAGCCCACGCCGCACAACAGAGGGCCGCCATTGAGGATAACGAGGCCCTCGTCGCCAAGGCCATGCAACACACCCTTCTCCTGCTAGGGTTTTGCCGACCCATGCCCGCCATTCTTTCCGCCGGCATGAACTGTGGTCCCTGGCATGTCTATGGCTGCAGTCTAATTTAGTTTTCATTTTTTTCTTACAAAAGGGTCGGAGGCCAAATTTGCTCTGAAGTGGCCGAACAACAACCCTTTGCCCGATCCGAACGGATTGAATCAGAACAAAACCGACGTCTGTTTGCGGTCGCACGCTGGAGTTGGGCTAAGTGTCCCCTGCTACCTCTTGAGCATGTGTTGGTTTTCCCTTGAAGAAGAAAGGGTGATGTAGCAAAGTAGCGTAAGTATTTCCCTCAGTTTTGAGAACCAAGGTATCAATCCAGTAGGAGACAACACACAAGTCACCTAGTACCTACACAAACAATCAAGAACCTTGCAACCAACACGATAAAGGGGTTGCAATCCCTTCACGGTCACTCGCAAAAGTGAGATCTAATAAAGATAGTAAGGTAAATATTTTGTATTTTTGTTGTATAGATTGGAAAATAAAGATTGCAAAATAGTAAATGAGATGCAATAAAATAGAAAAAGATGTATTATAATAGGAAAGAGACCCGGGGGCCATAGGTTTCACTAGTGGCTTCTCTCAAGATAGCATGTATTACGGTGGGTGAACAAATTACTGTCGAGCAATTGATAGAAAAGTGCATAATTATGCAGACATCTAAGGCAATGAACATGAATATAGGCATCACGTCCGTGTCAAGTAGACCGGAACGATTCTACATCTACTACTATTACTCCACACATCGGCCGCTATCCAACATGCATCTAGAGTATTAATTTCATAAGAACGGAGTAACGCATTAAGCAAGATGACATGATGTAGAGGGATAAACTCAAGCAATATGATATAAACCCCATCTTTTTATCCTCGATGGCAACAATACAATACGTGCCTTGCTGCCCTTACTGTCACTGGGAAAGGACACCGCAAGATTGAACCCAAAGCTAAGCACTTCTCCCATTGCAAGAAAGATTAATCTAGTAGGCCAAACTAAACCGATAATTCAAAGAGACTTGCAAAGATATCAAATCATGCATATAAGAATCCAGAGAAGAACCAAATAATATTCATAGATAATCTTGTTCATAAATCCACAATTCATCGGATCTCGGCAAACACATCGCAAAAAGAATTACATCGAATAGATCTCCAAGAATATCGAGGAGAACTTTGTATTAAGAATCAAAGAGAGAGAAGAAGCCATCTAGCTAATAACTATGGACCTGAAGGTCTGTGGTAAACTACTCACGCTTCATCGAAGAGGCTATGGTGTTGATATAGAAGCCCTCCATGATCGATTCCCCCCTCCGGCAGATCGCCGAAAAAGGCCCCAAGATGGGATCTCACGGGTACAGAAGGTTGCGGCAGTGGAAAAGTGGTTTTGTGGCTCCCCCTGATGTTTCTAGGGTATAAGAGTATATATAGGCGAAAGAAGTACTCCCTCCATTCCCTTATACAAGGCCACTATGAAAAAATACAATTTGCATCTATACAAGGCCACTAACAATAATCAGAGGCAAACATTAATGATGTTTCCTCGTACTACCAACTTGTTTAATACTTGCATGCATGTAGTCATAATGACACTGTGCTACTTCCTTCCCATTCCTTCTTTGCATGCATGCGGGCGTATTAATGATCCCGATGAACAAAAAGAATAATTGACTTGCAAAGTAGTCATTAAATTTTACCTTGGTACCTGTAATTTGAGTTTGTGGCCTTGTATAAGGGAAGGGAGGGAGTACGTCGGTGGAGCTACGAGCGGCCCACGAGGGTGGGGGAGCACCCTCCTGCCTCGTGGCCTCCTCGTGGCGTTCCAGACTTCTACTCCAGTCTTCTAGATTGCTTCCGATCCAAAAAAGATCATCGCGAAGGTTTCATTCTGTTTGGACTCCGTTTGGTATTTCTTTTCTGCAAAACTCTAAAGGGATAATTAGATTTCTACCCCTAGTTGTGTCTCGCTCGTCTGTTTTACACCTAATTCCCAAAAGTCACCAGGTCTGTCCAAGTCACTTTGTTCCTCTTATGCTTTTGCCCTTTGACCGTTTGACCGCCAGTTTGAAAACTTCATAACTAATTCATACTAAATTATAAAAATGCAAATAAGATACCAAAATGTTTAGAAAAACATCACCTATATGTCAGTGTCATTTGCATTCATTAAAAAAATGTTGGAATGTGCCCATCCGAGTTTTAGCTCTTATGCTACCAGCATGAATAGTAAAATCTAAAAAAGTTCAAAAAAATTCAAAAAAAAATTGGTGGCAAAGAATGAAAAATGTTTCAAGTGTCTACCAAGTTTCATCAGGGAATAACATTCGTGGGTGCCGCAGCAAAAAAACAATCAGCACTTCAAAATTGATTATTTTTTTGCCACGACTTCCACGATCTAGTGCTAGTGCAATACCCTTTGACTTATATAAAGAAATTATGCATGATATTGCACCCGCTGAAATAGAAGGTATTGATATTACTATTAAGCTTGCCAATAGGGATACCATTAAGCCAGATGGGATTGTTAGAGATGTTGAAGTCTTGTGTGGGAAAGTTAAATATCCTGCTGATTTTCTTGTTCTTGGTTCCCCACAAGATGAATTTTGTCCCATTATATTTGGTAGACCCTTCTTGAATACTGTTAATGCTAGGATTGATTGTGAAAAGGATATTGTTACAATTGGCTTAGGGGATATGTCTCATGAGTTTAATTTTGCTAAATTTCATAGACAACCCCGTGATAAAGAATCACCTAGTAAGGATGAGATTATTGGTCTTGCTCCTATTGCCGTGCCTCCTACTGATCTGTTAGAACAATATCTGCTAGACCATGAAAATGATATGTTCATGAATGAAATAAGGGAAATAGATGAAGTGTTCCTTCAACAGGGTCCTATTCTGAAACACAACTTACCTATTGAAATCCTAGGGGATCCCCCTCCACCCAAGGGTGATCCCGTGTTTGGTCTCAAACCATTACCTGATAATCTTAAGTATGCTTATCTTGATGAAAAGAAAATATATCATGTTATTGTTAGTGCTAACCTTTCAGAGCAAGAAGAAGAAATATTACTGAAAACTCTGAAGAAGCACCGTGCTGCTATTGGATATACTCTGGATGATCTTAAGTCCATTAGTACCACTCTATGCCAACACAAAATTAAAGTGGAGAAAGATGCCAAACCAGTTAGAGATCCTCAACGACGATTGAATCCTAAGATAAAAGAAGTGGTAAGAAAGGAGATACTAAAACTCCTTGAGGCAGGTATAATTTATCCCGTTGCTGATAGCGATTGGGTAAGTCCTGTCCATTGCATTCCTAAAAAGGGAGGTATTATTGTCGTTCCTAATGATCAGGATGAATTGCTCCCGCAAAGAATTATTACATGTTATAGGATGGTAATTGATTTCCATAAATTAAATAAAGCTACTAAGAAAGATCATTACCATTTACCTTTTATTGATCAAATGCTAGAAAGACTATCCAAATATACACATTTTTGTTTTCTAGATGGTTATTCTGGTTTCTCTCAAATACCCGTGTCAGCGGAGGGTCAATCAAAAACTACTTTTACTTGCCCTTTTGGTACTTTTGCTTATAGACGTATGCCTTTTGGTTTATGTAATGCACCTGCTACCTTTCAAAGATGCATGATGGCTATATTCTCTGACTTTTGTGAAAAGATTTGTGAGGTATTCATGGATGATTTCTCCGTTTATGGATCCTCTTTTGATGATTGCTTGAGCAACCTTGATCGAGTTTTGCAGAGATGTGAAGACACTAGTCTCGTGTTGAATTGGGAAAAGTGCCACTTGATGGTTAATGAAGGCATTGTCTTGGGGCATAAGATTTCCGAGAGAGGTATTGAAGTTGATAAAGCTAAAGTTGATGCTATTGAAAAGATGCCATG